AGAGAGAGAGAGAGAGAGAGAGAGAGAGAGAAACTAATACACATAAAAGGCAGACATTGAGAAAAATCACCCTACCAAAAAATGTGTGAATTCTGGGTTTGAGCAAACACATGCACCACCTTTCACTTCAAAATCTAATGTGTGTTGCTGTAGACTAAGGGCCCCAGAGCTTGATCAACCATGAAGAAATAAAGGAAAGGAAAAAGGAGTCAGTCTTAGTCACGCAACCTCATGCCTCACAGCCGTCCCTAGTAAGCACATCAGCCAAATGCTTTGTCTACCTGTAAAGTGACTTTAAAAAGAGAGGAAGAGGAGGAGTTGCTCTGCACTCTCTCTTTAAAATGTGGCACATGTTGTCATTCGTTCTATGATAGTTGGCCAAAAGACAAATCTGATTTCCTTTCCCAGACTCATTTTAATTTTAATTTTTATGAAAGCAGCAAAAACATGCTGCGCTCTCCATCCTATCCTCATTGTTTAAAAAAAAAACAAAATTAATATTGCTCCTTTTGAAAGACTAACCCCACTTCTCCTTCCTTAATTAGGCCCAATGGAAATATAGGCATAAGCATTCAACCGGGCAAGCCGACTGAAAAACACCCCCAAACCCTGAAAATCTAAATCAAGACCAAACCAATTATAGCATTTTATTTAGGTGGTGTTTATTTTTTGTATTTTTTTTAACTGTCAAGTGATTGACAGAATTTATGGTGGGCTCAACATTTTAAAGTATTTCTAGACTGTGGGGAAGACAGTTTGTACATAGCCTTTGCATGAAATTACTGCATTTTCCAGCCATGTCTTTTGGTGTGAAAGTATTACACTTTTACTAGCCGCAGCATTCTGGGTGTATACTTCTTTCGAGGAGACATTTTTCTAGCTGAGTTTAATCCAGTGAGTTAAAAGAGGGAAAGAATGTAAAATGAAGCTTTCTACTTGCATTTGGACATGGCATTTGTTTTTCATCGCAGGATGCTAAGAAATCTCTCTGGTTGTCTGGCTTTTTGCCTCACCTGTCTGAGGACAGAGGCCCTGAGGACAGCATGCAAATTTCAACCCCCTCACCCGAGCCCATCCTCTCACTTCCCCTCCTCTATTGAGCACACCTTATCCACAACAGGATGCTACCATTCATCCACAGAGGCCTTACCTGTCGGTTTTCTTGATCAGGATGGCCCTAAAGATGTGCTCCAGGGGTGTCTTCTCCCTCTCATGAGTGGGCTGCACGAAGGGGTGCAGGGCTGCCAGCGAGAAGCCCTGCTGGTACAGCTCCAGGAGCTGGGCGGGCAGGTCACGCAGGGAGGCCAGCCTCACTGCTGAGGACCCAGGGAGTTCCGCTGGAGTAGAGAGAGGAGAGGCTCATCAGAGACCCACCATGAGGCCCACACAGCGCTGCCCAAGCCCCTCTCCCCTTGCCCTAGGGGAGGATCCTCTAGGTCACTGTTAAAATGAATTTGTCCCAGTTTTTACTGTCTTCAAACAGACTTTATAGGTAGGCTGTCATTTTACAAATCACCCAAAGGCATTAATAACCGGATGTCAGCCAGGTGTGGTAGCTCCCAGCACTTTGGGAGGCTGAGGCAGATGGATAGCTTGAGCCCAGAAGTTTGAGACCAGCCTGAGCAACATGGTGAAACCTGGTCTCTAAAAAAATAATAATAATAAATTAAAAAGCCCAAAAATTAGCCAGTGCTTGTGGTCCTGGCTACTCAGGAGGCTGAGGTGGGAGTGTAGTTGAGCCAGGGAGGTGGAGGTTGCAGGGAGCCATGCACTCTAGAGGTCACTGCACTCTAGCCTGGGCAACAGAGTGAGACACTCTCAAAAATCAAATGATATAAAATAATAATGGAATGTTTTAGATCTAGAGTCATCTTCTCAGTGATCACAATGAACAAGTCATTTCCACCGCCTAAAAGAAAGAAAAACATATGTAAAGAAAGAAAAGAAGAAGGAAAGGGAAAAGAAGAAAACTATATTGAGCAAATATAAAAATGCTAGGAGGCAAAAAGCAGCATAAACAAAGTCAAAAGACCAACTGGAACAAAATTTCTGAAACGCTTAAGACAAAGGGCTGATTTCCTTAATTTGCTAAACCCTCCCCACCCCAAAATAATTTTTAAATGGGCAAAACATATGAATAGGCAATTGCCTAAAAAATGTGAAAGCCTAACCAACATTTGAAAGAATTACACAAATCAAAACCAGATTTTTACCTACTGAATTATTTTCAAACTTGGATTTTTAAATTTACTTATTTTTGAGAAGAGCAAACAAGGTTCAAAAGTCAAAAGGTACAAATGTGTATTCAGTGAAAAGTCTACATCCTAGCCCTATCCTCTGCCTCCTACATTTACTTCCCTAGAGGCAATCATTATTATTTTTGTGTGTGTATGGGCATTAACCATCAAATAATTCATACAAAAGTAAATAGGCCTATATATTTCCCTCCTCTTCTACATAGGCCTATATATTTCCCTTCTCTTCTAGAATGTCAGCATAACATTACACACCTGGCTTTTTAAAATCAATTTTTATCAATCAACAGTATACTTTTTAGCCAGGTGCAGTGCTCACGCCTGTAATCCCTGCACTTTGGGAGGTCAAGGCAGGCAGATCATCTGAGGTCAGGAGTTTGAGACCAGACTGGCCAACACGGTGAAACCCCATCTCTACTAAAAATACAAAAAATTAGCCAAGTGTGGTGGCGGGCGCCTGTAATCCCAGCTACTCAGGAAGCTGAGGTGGAAGAATCACTTGAACCCAGGAGGCAGAGGTTGGGGATTGCACTACTGCGCTCCAGCCTGGGCAAGAAGAGTGAAACTGTCTCAAAAAAACGCCCCAAAACCAAAACCAAAAACAGAAAAACCCCAAAAAACAGTATAGTTTTCTTAGAGACTATTCCATAGCAGTACACAGAGCTCTTCCTCATTCTTTCCTACAGATCCGTTGTGTGATATACCATGGAATATGCAAACTTTTGCTTTTATAAGTAATCTATTAATGAAAAATATCATTCCTACATGATTGCACATGTGTGCGCTTATAGTACCTATAAAAATAAATGCTTAGATGTGGAATTGCTGGGTTAAAAAAATATGCATCGTGTGTCTGTATCAAAACATCTCATGTGCCCTATAAATATATACACCTACTATGTACCCACCTAAAATAAAAAAACTAAAAATCAGAGGTGTAAATACACACACACACACACACACACACACACACACACACGTGCACTGTAATTTTTTCAGATAGTGCCAGATTCTCTCCATAGAGTAGTATGGAGTTATCTGCCATCAGTGATGTATAAAGGTGTTTCTTTTCTCATACTCTGACTATTCTCAGTGAAAAAATAAAAAGATCCCTGTGAGATGGTAACATATTTATTATGTAATTTGTATTTTTTTCTTATTGAACATTTCATATTTAAATGCTGTGTCTTCTTGTCTGTGAACTGTCTGTCCATTATCTTGCCTGGTGTCCTACTGGGTCACTGGATCTTTTTTCTACTGGTTTGTAAGAACTCTTTACATATTAGGAAATTTAGTTTTTATTTATTTGTCCCCAATTGGTTGCTTGTTTTCTGACTTTGCATATGATAGGTTTTGCCATGAAAAACTTTTTTTTTTTTTTTTTTTTTTTTTTGAGACAAAGTCTCACTCTGTCCCCCAGGCTGGAATGCAGTGATGCTAACTCGGCCCACTGCAAACTCCACCTCCTGGGTTCAAGTGATTCCATGAAGAACTTTTTGAATAAAGCTGAATTTACCAATCTTGCTTTCAATGGCTTCTGAGTTTTATGTCATAGCAGAAAGGCCTGGGGTTAAAAAACAATTATCTTGTGAATTCTGGTAATACATATTTCATTTTTTGCATATAAATCTTTGATCAATTTGGAATTTATTCTGCATAAAGCATGCAATATGAATTTAACTTTCCCCCCACCAAATGGGTTTAGCTATTTTTCCTCATTGATTTGAGATGGCACATATCATATGCCATTTATCATTTATTATATTCCCAAACATGAGTTTATGACTGTGATCCAATTATCTATTTGTATAAAACACTGCTTTAAACAATTTTAATTTCACATTAGCTTCTAATATCTGATTAAACTATTTCTCACATCTTTCTGTATTCCTGTTTCTATTTTGAATCTTCCTAATTTGTTTTTCTAAATGATCTTTAAAAATCAAGTTATCAAATTCCCCTTCCCCCACCAAAAAAAATTTTGTGGGTATTTTTATTGGGTCATGTTCAAATCATAGCTTAACCGAGAATGAATATTTTCACCATGCTGCAAGTTCCCATGCAAGAAACTGGCAAAATTTTGATTTGTTCAAGTCTTCCTTTGGGTCCCTCTGGAGCATACCAAAGTTTTCTTCACACAGTACATATTTATCAAGTTTATTTCTAGTCATTCTATATTTTATTGCTATTGAAATAATATATTTTCCTTTTTCATTTCTGTAATCTTCATTGCATGCAAGAGTGTTGGGGAAATAGGCATGCCCGTCCTTGTGGTGGGAGGGAACCTTTCTCTAGGGCAGAGTGGTATTGGCCTTCAATCCTAAAAATGCACACACTCTCTGTCCAGCAACCCCTCTACTGGTACTACTCCTATGGCTGGACTCATAAATGTCTTCCAAGATATATGGACAAAGATATTTACTACTGGGTATTGCTCTAATAGCAATCTTAATTGCAGGACTAAACACTGGAACACCCCAGTGATTAATCCTATGAACCATTAAGAAGATTAAAGTAAATCTGTTATGTGCTGATAGGGAAACAAGTCCAAGATACATTGCTAAGTTAAAAAAACAGAAGTGCACAACAGTGTTAATGGTATGGCCACTGTTATGTAAAGAATATTAGAAGGGCCAGGCATGATGGCTCACGCCTGTAATCCCAGCACTTTGGGAGGCCAAGGTGGGCAGGTCACAGTGTCAGGAGTTTGAGACCAGCCTGACCAACATGGTGAAAACCTGTCTCTACTAAAAATACAAAAATTAGCCGGGCATGGTAGTGCCCACCTGTAATCCACCCTACTCAGGGGGCTGAGGCAGGAGAATCACTTGAACCCGGGAGGCAGAGGTGGCAGTGAGCCAAGGTCATGGGCTGCACTACTCCAGCCTGGGTGACAGAGGGAGACTCCATCAAAAATAAAAAGAAAAAGAAAGAAAGAAAAAAGAAAGAATATTAGAAAGATAGAAGGATGGACAGACATAAATAAAAATCTTTTTTTTCTAGAAGGAATCACAAAAACATCAACATTGAAGAGGCCGGGCCACAGTGGCTCACGCCTGTAATCCCAGCACTTTGGGAGGCCAAGTGGGATAGATCACTTGAGGTTGGGAGTTCGAGACCAGCCTGACCAACATGGAGAAACCCTGTCTCCACCAAAAATACAAAAACATTATCCAGGCGTGGTGGCACATGCCTGTAATCCCAGCTACTTGGGAGGCTGAGGCAGGAGAATTGCTTGAGCCTGGGAGGTGAAGGTTGCAGTGAGCCCAGATTGCACCACTGCACTCCAGCCTGGGCGACAAGAGCATATCAAGCAAGCAAGCAAACAAACAAACAAAAAACACTGGAGAGAGGGACAGAGCAGGGGTGAAAGGATAGAAGGTCGTTTTTATTTTATCTTACACTTTCGATTCCATTACCACCAACAGGAGTCATTTGGGTGGAATGTTTATGAGTCATTTTTATTTTCCTCTTTTTATATAAAAAGTATTATTTAAAACTTTTTAATTAATGTGCTTTTTAAATTTTCTAATTTTTCTTAAATTTATTCTTATTTATTTATTTTGAGACAGAGCCATGCTCTGTCCCCCAGGCTGGAGTGCAGTGGTGCAATCACAGCTCATTGCAGCCTTGATCTCCTGGGCTCAAGTGATCCTCCTATTGACTCAGCCTCCAGAGTTGCTGGGACTTCAGGCACATGCCAGCATGTCCGGCTAATTTTTAAATTTCTTGTAGAGGTAGAGACAGGAATGGTCCAGGCTGGTCACAAACTCCTGGTTTTAAACGATCTTCCTGCCTTGGCCCAAATGTGCTATAGTTAAAAACAAATGTTAAAAGAAAACCTAGGGGTGCTTAACAACCACCTAACATCAGATACTGTAGCTCTCATTTCCATACATCATGCAAGAAATTTACAGGAAAAAAAATCTATAGCAATGATTCACTCTAAAACAAGCATTCAGCATCCTGGAGAAGGCTCCATTAATAAGAGTGACAAATGTAGGGCTAGCCAGAAAAGCAGAAAAGTATGCGATCTCTCCCTGAAGGGTACATTCAGTATATGCTGCTAGATAAGCAAATCC